AAATTCAAAATCGAAAATGGCGAAAAAGTGTTCACCTTTTCTTCATTTTGCAAAATGCTCTGTTTTTTGTGTACCTAACAAAAAAATGATTTTGATACTTTGTAAAAGAATCCGAACAATGTTCTTTTTAGAGGAGTTTTTTCAGGGCTCGAATCCGTTAGTTAATTTACTTTATTTCGTGTCACGAATTGGTACAATATGCTTTTTTCATTATATACCAATTTTAAACCCGTAAGAAATGAGAAATCCAGTGAAAATAGTGAAGACGAATCTAGAACATTTCTGGGTTTTTTAATACGATTCCTTTTTAGAGGAATAGAATCAAATTACAAAACTTATCCCACAAGTTGAAATTGATAAGTTTATGTAAGTTCAAATTCAATAATGGTTTAAGAGTTATGTCTAAATATTCTCTTGAGGTATGTATATAATAGTATATGTAATGGTAATGTTGATGATTTCTGAGATAGATAATCAAATTGAATTATTGGTTTTGGTTTTTGGTTTTAGGGAGCTGGTGGACCGGAGGAGGAAGATAACCGGTTGCCTCCATGGCTTAAACCTTTGCTTAAAGAGCAATTCTTTGTTCATTGCAAGTTTCATGGAGATTCTCATAAGAGTGAATGCAATATGTATTGCTTAGACTGTACCAATGGACCGCTTTGCTCTCTCTGTCTTGCTCATCACAAGGATCATCGCACCATTCAGGTACCGGTCTTGTGTTGCGATTCTTGAATCTTGATTCATCGAAAGATTCGATATTTTTCGGGTTTTGAATTGGTTTTTTTTTTGCAGATAAGGAGATCTTCTTATCATGATGTTATTAGAGTGAATGAGATACAAAAGTATCTTGATATAACCGGGATCCAGACTTATGTGATCAATAGCGCGAAAGTCGTTTTCTTGAACGAGAGACCTCAGCCTAGGCCCGGGAAAGGCGTAACCAATACCTGCAAGGTTTGCTATCGTAGTCTTGTCGATGATAGCTTCCGCTTCTGCTCTCTTGGCTGCAAGGTACATTTCCATCATTTATTACCAACTTTTTCATTATAGCGAATCAAAAAGTGAGAAACTTTGGTATTAGTTTGTTTTCTCCCTCTTTACACGTTTAAAAATAGCAAAACCTATGAGTAAAATCCTCACATTTTGAAGTATAGCTTACAGTTTCACCTAACATTTCCTTGCATTTTGGGCAAATTCAATACCCTTTTAACCGCTCAAGAAAAAATATAAAAACTTTGGAAATGGGCCATCCTGAAATTTGATGTATATGCAGTTTCACCTAACTTTTACTAGCATTTTGGGTAAAGTCTTTTTTAACTCGTGGTCGAGAAAAAGATTGGAACTTTCGATATGGATCATTCTTTTTTCTTGCAATTTTACTCAAATAGTTGTGGAAGAACTTATTGAACTGACTTTCTTTATGTTTTGTGAAATGAAATCAAGATTGCTGGATCGTCCAGAGGCTTTGAGAAGGGAAGGAAGAACCTTCTGATGGAAACAGAGGATTCAAGTAGCAGCATTGGAGTTGGGAAGAACATTTCAAATCTCCAAAGTTTCAGTCCATCGACACCTCCACTTACTACATCTAGTAACTGCAGAATCGCCAAGCGAAGAAAGGGAATTCCTCATCGATCTCCGATGGGATGATGAAAAAAACGATGAAAAGAAGAAGCGAAAGCTAATTCAGTGCCAGTTTCTTGATCTATATACACACAAAGGTTTAGCTGATACAGAAGCTTTTGTCTCTTAATCTTTTCTCATATACCAACGAAATGGACTTTTTGCTTGTGTTAGCAAAAAATGGGCCTTAAGTTAGGTTTTGTCCTACTAATGGCAAGTATGTGAATATGTAGTGTGCTTGTATATTTATGTGATGCAAAAGGGGTAGAAAGGGAAATATAGGGGTTTAAGGTGGGTACAAGTGGGAATAAAACAAAAGTATTTTTGGTTTTTCATTGTTGTAAATTTGGTTTGATTAGGTGCATATACATGAATCTGGAATTATAAATAAAATAATGAGATTTCCCACTTCTTGATGATGAGAAAATGCTTTAAACCAGATTATGTAGCATAGTAGTAGTTTGTCTAAAAATTGTTGTTCTATAACAAAATAATATCAATATTGTTGTTGTGTCATAGTTCGAATGTTTGACTCGGTATTAGTTCAAATATAAATTCGGTAATGTATGTGTGTGAATCTATGTACCGATTGATCTCAAGAGTTTGGTGGACTTGGAAAGTCAGAACCAAGATTTTGGGATAGATAATAACGTATGGTCCTTATTTGAATAAATGGAACGACTTTAAATAAATTTGGTGTTGTAATATAATTCGTTATAAATGGTATATTAATTCTCATGGGGCGTTGAGATGGAAAGCAATTTAGTGGGGAAGGTCTAATTTGCTTTCTCTTCTTCTTCTTTAACTTTGTTGAAAACGGAACTACTTGGAAGTTGGAATAGATCGAGAGAGAGGCAAGAATATATATGTTTTTTTTTATAATCGGAGGTGTCCGGGTTTTTATTACGCGATTAATCCCCATGATGAGTATAGCCGTCGAATAACTTATTCACTGAATTTTCTAATGAGTTTAAAGCATGGTACCATTTCGACTGGCCAAATAAAGATAAAAATGTTCACATGG